TATTGAAAACGTTGTTGCTGTACGACTTGCCAAGAGCCTGACGAAGTTGCCTGCTGCACCCTATGCAGACAGCTGTACACTAGTGCACTATGATAATGATGTGACCCCTGGTTTTCATTACTATGAAGCTGATGGCACTGCCTTGAACATCTACGACATCACAGGATCTACACACTCACGCATCATCCAGTGTCTTAAATCCAGGAAGCCGCCTGCTGGATTTGACCGAGACCTCACTAAGTTTGAGGAACTCGCTGATGGTCCACCACCAAGCGAGTCACCTCCAGCAGCTGCTCCTGAGCAGCCTCCTGCGGAGAACGATGGTCGGCTCCCGACCATCATAGAAGAAACAGAAGAAGATCTGGATGCCTTTGTCTTGAAGTCGTGGTATGCTGAACTGATGGATGACAGAACACTCCTTGAAGCTGACACAGAAGAAGTCATGCATACAGTTCCCACATACATGACAGACACACAGTGTGTGTTAGTCTCTACGACCTGTGAAGATGTGCAAGGCCACTTGCCGGAGCGGGGTCACCCGCCAGGATACGGCATGGACACTTCTTACTACGTTCCTTTATGCTCCACGGATCCGGATAGCAAATATGATCTGGACTCCGATGAGCACGGGAAGTACATCGAGCTCTGCTTCACAGCAGACATGTCCAAAGTCGTCCTGTCCGAGCAGCAACACCGATTGTTGGATGACAGCAGCGTCACAACCATGCGAGTATACGTCAGTGCTGCCTCCAAACGTGCCGCGGTCGTCAAGGAAGACGATCTACTCACGAAGGCCGACATTCAAGCGAATCCGGTCAAAGTTTCCAAAGCCCTTTACACAGAATTGAAGACTTGGCTTGACAATAAATGCTTTCAGATGACTGACTTGAGCAAAGCGTCTAACATCATGACTTCACGCTACGTATACAAATGGAAGTTTGTCAAGAACGAAAAGGGCGAAATGGAAAGGACGATCAGGTTACGCTTGGTACTCCGTGGCTTCATGGACCTTGAAGCCTTTGATGTCGAAACCTTCTCTGGCACGGCAAGGAGGTCAAGCCAGAGACTGCTCGCAAGTTCTGCTGCATGCAACAAAGCTTGGATCATCGCTTCCCTGGACATCAACATGGCTTTCTTGAAGGGACTGACCTATAGCGAGCTCGCCGCGGCAACGGGCGAGAAAGAGCGTGTGGTGTGCTTCACACTACCTCCTGGGTCAGCAGCTGTCCTTCGCACACTGCCAGGCTTTGAGTCATATGACGAATCAAAGCATTGTCTTCGGTGTCTGAAGCCGGGGACGGGCACGAAGGATGCTCCCAGGGCATTCTCGCTGAAGCTCAGGTCCATCACTAGGAGCTTTGGGCTACAGCCTACTTCATACGACGAAGAGTTCGAGATGAGCTCAAACCTCTTGACAGCCAAGCACGTTGATGACATCAATATGACTGGGAAGGAAGATGCTATTGACAAGTATGTCAAGTGTGTTGAAGATACGTTTGGGAAGTGCAAACTGAACAAGCACACATACACAAACTGTGCCGTTCGGTATAACAAGACCGATGATGGGAGCGTCACTCTTGATCAGGACGAATACATCAAACAGCTTCGTCCTATCACACATCCAGAACTCACAGGAGCTGATCCTGAGAGCAAAGCGACAAAGACGATTTCTGATATGTTCGTCAGTCTTCGTGGCGCTCTAGCCTATGCGTTGATCACGCAGGTATGGCTGATGGTCTATGTTGTCTCACTACAACGTATCCAGGAACCGACAAACATCCAGGTACGACGACTAAACGCGGTTACCAGGAAACTACAGGCAGGTCCGAAGAAGATCGTGTATCAAGCTATGACTCCAACAGGAGAAGTTGACCTGCATAGCGATTCTGGCTATCGCCGTCTCAATGGAGATGAAGACGACGAAGTCAAAGGCTATGGTATCCGCGGGGCTAACCTGCTGAGGCGTGGCCACACGCAAGCGGGGAAACCCGTCGTGCACCTGGTGGACGCATACTGCAAGTCTCATCGACTGCAGGTGCGTTCGAGCTACTCTGCGGAAACACTGGCAGCAGCCCACAACTTGGAAGACTGCTACCCGACCATTGTAACGCTCCACGAGCTACACTCGGGACCATTGACCCCCACACAGTTAAAGAACATATTGGAAATGGGTGGTCTATGTATCAAAGTCACTCTGACTATTGATGCCGAGTCTGTCTTCAAGTCTTTGTCTAGCAAAGATCTGAAGAAGCCCACAGAATGTACTCTGCTTGGGCACATTAGCTGGATCCGCCAGATGATGGAGCGCGGAATCGTTGAAAGCGTTCAATGGTGTGACACGCGGGATATGACTGCCGATGGTCATACCAAAGGTAGTATTGACCGCGCGTTGCTCCTACAAGTAATGGCCGGCCAGCAATCCTTCAAGCACGAGCTGAAGAAACATACACCGTATAGGGCGGGCAGGTCGTCTCAGGACGGCCCTGCCTCCCGAGCTAGCGGGGAAACCCGCGTGCAGGTGCGCTCTAGTAGCGAGGAAACTCGCCGGTAGCGAGGCTACTCGCGCGCCCTTGCCTTGTAGGCAGCCGCTGCTGCTTAGCACTGTTTTTCCGCGTAATGTAGAAGTGCGGTGCCTGCTCGTCTCCTCCCCCTCCGACTTTAAACGGAGAAGGTTAAAGGCGAGGTATAAATCGAGCATGTACCGCTGCCGTGCCTGGCTCAAGCCGGGCCCGGCCAAATATATGACTGTGCCTCACCGAGGCGCACGACTGGTATCTGAGATCGGAAAATACCTTTTCCATTGAAGATGCCTCTTCTATCCTTTACTCCAGATCCCATGCTTCGTCTCGCTCTCTTGCTCATGCGATATGAGCCAAAGCCTGGGATATGGCAACGCTTGAAGCGTAACACATACCTAAGCTTACCAGCATGTTTTCGACTACGCAAGGATCGACTTTGCCAGAATCGGGCGTGCCGTCGCTTTTTGACGGTCCCTGCATGGGAACCCGCGCCAGATTTCAAGCTGGGCCTGTCATCTTTGCCGACGGCCCCATCAGGCCAACTCGAGCCAAGCAAACTCGAGTCTTACGTTTCCCCGAGCGGGCGGTGGCTGGGGGGTCGGAACAGGCCGTCGGGCGGGTGTGGCAATGGGGTGTGTTCTCATCCCAGGTGTGCATCTGACTTTGGCTGCCACTGTGCTCCTGGTGTTGCGTTGCGGGCACGTCAGCCACTTTGCACGAATCCCGAGGGAGCCTGCGGCCGCCAGCGCCGCTCATGAATATGTTCACAATCTGAGTGCGCCTCCTCCTCCTTCCTCCCTCCGCGGCCGCTTCTTTTCCCCGAGCGAGATGCCTATGCGCAAGTGGCTGTTGCACAGCCCGCTTTAGCTCGACCGCGCCGAGCCCCCTTGGCTGTGATCCAACGCATGTCTGTACGGAACACCTCCTACGACGCGAGCTTTTCGGGTCACTGGCCCTCGCGTCGCGCGACCCCTTTCCCTCGGGCCAGCATTTACTGTTTGTGGGGGGGGGGCTCTCCGTTCCGAGTCGGTGAAGGACAGTCCTGGGGCCGGGAAGCGGCCTGTGGACGCGCGACGCCGACAATCGAGAAACCTCGTGCGCCACCCCGAATCGCAGGAGGACCGGAATGGGGACGGAGACCAGCAGCAGTTCTTGTTTTTGATCAGTAATCGCTGTAGGTTTCGCCGCGGACGCTGTTAGTTTGAGGCAAACGTCGCCTGCCTAACAGCGGCCGCTGTCCGGTTTTGGACAAGCTTCGTTGTTGGGCATCGTGCTCGGTTTTTGCGTGCCCATGTGGGTCCTCATGTTCGTTCAAGACTGGTCCCCGAGACCCTTCCTGAGGCCCAGGACGGCGAGTTCCCCGAGCCACCATCGTGGCGACGGAGACCATGATGTCGCCGTCGCCGACGCCGTCGTCGTCCGTGCCGAGTTTCGCAACCCTCGAGACGATGACGTCGTCGTCGCCGACGCCGTCATCGTCTGCTCCGAGTTTCGCAATAAGCGCTGAGGGGATGGTGTGCGCTGATGGGCCTGTTTTCCACCGCCACCACCATAAGTTGGAGGGGGGAGGGGGTCCTCCTCCCCCTCTTCTTCTCCTTCCTCCTCCTCCTCCACCTCCTCCCCCCCTTCAACTTGTGGTGGTGGTGGTGGAAAACATGCCCATCATGCGCCCCCTCTGCCGACGGCCCCAGATCGAACCCCACGTCGCGGACAACCGCCGCGCGCCAAAGGCGCCTCAAGACACGGCGCGGTGCGCCGACATGGCGAGGGGTCGACCCCCCCGTCGGGGGGGGTATTTCTCTCGTGCGGCGCGCGCCAGGGGGGAAGGCGCGAGGGGAGTGGCCCTGAGAGAGGGCAGGGAGGTGTGTGATGAGCGTTTCTCCCTCGCCTCCTGGGGTAGTCCCCCCTTTCGGCTAGTGGCGCCACAAAAAACCGGCCCTGCCTCCCTCTTTGGGCGGGCAGTGCAGGGCTGGGGACGGCTTCAGGATCTAACCCAAACCAGCCGTGAGAGTGAGGGAGGCGTCTGAGAAGGCAGGGGGGCCTTTCCACGCGGGGAAGGCCTCCCGGGAGGCCCGGAGGGCTTTGAGGCCGCCCCCTCCTCCTTCCCCCCGCGCCGCCCTCCTGTTCGATGATCCTCGGGGCGTGCGTTCGCCCAATGTGTGCTTGCCACGCTCGGCTCCGCCGTTAGCACGCAGCCTGTGCCGTCCCTCACTTGCGCCGCCTTCGTCGTATCGAAGGGCTTCTGTGGACAAACTCACGCTTTGGCGCTGACACTTCTTACGTCGCAGCGCGGCAGAGGCAGTCCGCACGCGCGCTCAGGCGGTCCGGGCAACGGAAAGTGCAACTTAACCGGCGGCAGGAGGATGGGAAGACGGGCGAAAGCGGCCGTGAGGGAGGAGAGATTTCTATTTGACGCTGACACACGTTCTGAGTATCTTGGACTCGTGCGCGCCGCCGCGCCCCTGGCACGGGCGGGGGGAAAGGTCTCGGAGCAGAACCACAACAAGAACGTGTACAGGAAGGAGGCGGGCACGCCCGGACGGGGCTGGGACGAGGCGCCCACTAGGCAGGCACTTGTCGGATGGAGCGACCACGAGGCAGGCACTTGTCGGATGGGGCTAGGGCGAGGATAAATCCGTACCAGGGCGTTCCGGAACGCTCTCAGAGCGTCCCAGAAGGCCGCGGCGCCCGAGACGTCTTCCAGAGCCGCCGGATCCCAGAGATTCTCGCCTTATCCTTTCCTGATGTGATCCTCGTCCTGGCTTCGTCTTAGGCTTCGTTGAGGGCGCTCCTGGGCACCCTCTGGCCCTCCGCGGTGGCCCTCGTGGCCACAGTCAGATTCTGTTCGAAGTCCTGGTCAGAGGTCCAGGGGTCGACCTTGAGCTGGGCCTCCCTCCAGGGTCCATTTCGATCCGATCGATCCGATCCGATGTCGACGTCGGCCGACCCGATCCGATTCGGTTTTAATTTCCCAGCGGTCCGATGCTTGCATGACGTTGTTGTGCATCCAGGTGCAGCTACTCCGATTCGATTTCGACTCCGTGCCGATGCAGCCCGTTTTGACGCACATTCGACAGCTTCGAGTTGTGGTTCTGAGGTTGGTGTCACCTTGATGGTCCATGCAAGCCGGACGAAATGTTCCTGGCTACCCAGGCGGCTGGAGGCCAGGATGTTTGGCGCGAGCGCGCGATGACGAAGTCGGTTGCGTGCGAGGGTGTGTACTCGTGCTCCAGTTCTACTGTAATTGCATTCGAGCTGCTGCCCCCCCCGACATACAGTGGTGGTGGGGGTGGTGGTGAAAAAGAGGCTCATTCATTCAACTTGCATTGCGATCCGCGGAGAGAGAATGCGTGATCTATTTAGCGGCGTTCCGCCCATCCCGCCACGGGCTGTGGTTCTGAGGCCTCTTGGATGCATATGAGGGTCTCTTGGGATACCTTGGTGGCTTTTGGGGGGCCTCCTAGGGGCCTCTCGGGGCGTCCTGGGTCTTGGGGGCCTCTTGGGGCGTTTTGGGAGTCCTCAGGAGCCTCTGGGGGGCTCTTGGAGTTATTTTGTGGCGGAAGGCTCGGAATGTCCGTTCGTGTTCCCCCTCTTGGGCCCCCCTTGGGGCCCCCCTTGGGTGCCTCTTGGACCGTCTTGGGGGCCTCTTGGGCTGTCTTGGGGCCCTCTTGTGGCGACTCGGGGCCCTCTGGGCCTCTTGGGCAGTCCTGGGGCGCTATTGGAAGTTTCGTGGGCCGCGTTGGAGCGTTGAATCCTGAGAAAGGTGAGAACGCTAAAATCATTCACAAACCTGGAGGGAATGAATGATTTTGGCATCTGCAGGTTGCTTTTGGGGCCCCCTTTGGGGCTTCTTGGGGGCCTCTATGGCTATCTTCCAACCATCTTGAGGATCTGGGGGCGATCTTGAGGCCACTCCAGGCTCTCTTGGCCGTCTTCGCGGCCTCCTCTGTCCCTCCAGCCCTTCTTGAGACCTTCCAGGCTTCCAGAAGACGCACGCGACACACCCCGGGAGCTCCCAGGAACTCCCGGAAGTTTACGGAAACGCCTGGGAAACCGGATGTCCAGGGCCCTAAGAATATAGACCCTTGGTTGTAACAGCAGCAGCACAGCTGTGATCCTTGGGCCACTCCATTTCGTGCAAAGTGTACGGTGGCGGATTTTTTCAGAGCAGATCCGATATTTTCGAGAGGCCCGACCGCGACCTTTTGAATCTGTCGTTGCGCGGCATGCGATCGCGCAACAATCAGCAGCGTATCTGTGGATGAGTGAAACTGTGCGTGGTCTCGACTTGCACGGTCCAGGTGTTAGTATGCGACGCCGCGGAGAAGTAGCAAGGATTGGTATGCACACGTCTTGGCTCGCAGAAGCAGTTCCCGAGATTCTGCCGGGTGGAGACGTGGCGACCTGTTAAGCTTGACATCTGAGGCTGGGCCTTCCTCCAATGGAGCGATGCTGTCCAGAAATTCGTAAAGACCTTGCCACAGGGTGCCGACCTCACGAAGACAGCATGTCGGACCCCCAGGTCCTAAACATGCTTCCAGCGCTGTCCTGCTCCAAGGGTCGGCGGGCCTCCCCTTTTCCCTTGCCGTGCAGGGGGCGGGCCGAAACTCATTCTACTGTCCACGTCTTCCTGCTTCATGTTTCTACCTACCTCGTGCGCGAGTCGAGGGAAGACGGCGGGGAGGAAGACGAGGAGGAGATGGAGGAGAAGAAGGGGGAGGAGCAGGAGGAGGACAACTGGTCAGCAGGATGATTGAGCCTTGGTCTTCGATCCTCCCTTCGCAGCCGTGCGCGCGAGGGTGACAGCTCCACTGTAGTGTTGATTTACTACTGGGACGACAGGGACGGTCCCAACTTCCACGGCTGGTGGTTCGGGCCGAAGATTGGCGGTGACCAGGCGCCCCTGCCTTGCGTCGAATGATGATTCTGGCGAAGGCAGAGAGGAAGGGAGGGGGAGGAAGGAGGAATCGATGCTCCATGCTCCATGTTCTATCCAAGCCCCTGTTGCTGCCACCCCCACCCATAGCGCTAGGGGCTGCAGGACATGACAAAGCACCTGGTCTTGAGAGGCCAGACTTTGATTCACGCCTCCCCCCCTTCCGCTCCTCGGGAAAATCAGGCGTGAGCAGGTGTGTCCATACAGACTGTAATATTTACGTACACATAGGTCTACAGGTCTACAAACACAGATGTCGATGTGTATGTGTATGGAAAGAGCGTCGATCGGCTAAGGCACGACTGCACGCGTGGCAGAGAGCTTCTCGCGTGGAGACGCACACGGAGCGCGCTGCGAGTCCAGGCAGGCTGCTGCGGCAATCCTCGGGCGGCGAGCGTGAGAGCGCCGTTGCAACGACCTG